TCGGCTCCGCCCGAACTTAGACTTTCTTACTTGTTATTAATAAAAAACTAAATTTTTGGAGGTATTTTAAAATCGGTCTAGCTCACGTAAATCTTAATATTTTTGCGAGATATTTGACGGAAGTCTTAAAATGTAACATATTTTATAATTCCAGTGGAAGAACAGTACCGTTTTTTTTTTTGTATGGGGAGTGATGCAGTCTTCTGTACATAAGTTGACTATGATTACTCGGCCATTTATCATAGTAGCACAATGCCACTAAGTGCGTTCAATCATTTACAATAAGTAATCAACTTTGACCTTAATTATCTCAAAAAAATATCAGATCTACTTAGATCCTTTTAATTCTAACCCCTTCAATTGTAATTTAATTGCATTTACCAAGCTCTGCTTACTTACTTCAGCAAGTCCGACCTTTAAAAATTGTTCACGCCAGTTATTCCAACGCAGATTCAAGTGGTGCCTTATCTATCGTTTGGGATTCACGTTTGGAAAACCATTTTTTTATACATAAATTGTGTATACATTTTTTATACAATTTAGTCTTTCCTGTATCACATATTACGAATCAAAAACGATTTTTGTGAACATACCTTTACCTTTGTCATATAACCATGACCATCACCATTACGATTACTACTACCAATAATATTTCCATTACAATAACCATTACCATAGCGAATTCCATTACTATGGACGTTACCATAACTATTACCATAACCTTTAGCAACATTACCATCAGCATTACCATTACCGTTACCATTACTATACCTTTACGTTAACCATTACCACTACCATTACCATTAAAATCCCTTAACATTGCCACTGCCACTACAATTACCATTACCATTACTATTACCACTATCACCACGATTACCATTACCATAACAATTCTCGCTACAATTACTATAACGATTACAATCACCATTTCCTTTACCCCTTCAATTACTATCACCATTACCAATACCACTACTATTACCAATATCAATCAATTAAACAACCAACCCACAAATCCCATCCTAGTCAACGTCAGAAAAATTAATTCGAAATTTCATTAACAGTCGCCTAAGTGACCAAGAATATATAATTAAGTTAATTTCCTAGAAATTTGCATTACATAGAATACATGTGCATGTATGTATGTGAGTCAGTAGAAGTGTGCTCAGGATCTTAATCGACTATAAAAGGCTGCACAGTTTTCTATCAAAGGCATCAAATACATTGCTAGCCTTAAGGTGGCTACGACGAGTGGTGCTATAAAATCAAAAATATCGTCAATGAAAATACATATTCAAGTGCTTTATTAATCGTTACTAAAAAATAAGAAGATAAGGGGAAATGTCCTATAGTGGTGTCGTGTACTCGCGCACTGGTTGGTTAACCAAGCTGAGTTGGATGTTGGCATTGACGCTAATGTTCTGGTGTCGCTCAACAAAGGGAATGTAAGTTGAAAATACATATGTATATGTATATGTATAGCAATTTTAAGCGATAAAAAATATACATTTTCAGGCCACCTTTCCAACAATCAGTGGATTGTGGTCCAAGTGTAACCGAATATCCTTTAAATTGTGCGCATGGTAAGCAGGCTGCCGTTCCTTTTTTTTTTGTGTTTTATTTTGTGAAGAAATACCTGTAGTGACGTAATTTATTTTATTATCCTTTAAGGTGAACTACAAATTAATATGAATCGGACCGCATGTGAAAATCGCATTGTTTGTTATAGTAATTTGGGTGAGATGTGTCAACGGTATGGTGCTATGAGCAATTGTTTGCCTGGTTTGATCTGCAGCTGTGATAGGTGTCGTGAAATGCTAACGATATGCGGTCAAAGACTACGATCACCAATGTATATGCCAAAGCGAATGAAGCCAACATTTCCGGAATACGTTTTTTAAGTGAACAAAATTATTGTACTATTTAGTATCAGGCATCTTACCTGGAAACCTGCAAACGATTAGATGCTTAAACATAACAAGCCAAATATTTATTAGCGGAATATAATAGAGAAAGTAATTCTCGTAGTGTTTTATTAGAACATATAAACGTGGTAACATATGTATGTACATATGCGCTGAGTCTTTGGAATATAGAAAATACTTATTTATCTGATTGTGATAATAAAACAATTTCCATGGGTGTATTAATTAATCTATGAGTTTATGTTACATTGATTACAAACTAAATTTTCTTTTGTTTATAAGCAACAACGTCGATTTAATTGGACAAATCAACTTCTGAATGTTATTTCCTCAAGAAAAAGGAAAGTCTGTTGATAATACCTAGCGAAAAAAAAGGTCGGGAACTGAAAAAATTATTCTTTGCTTAAAATTTTCATTTGGTTTAGTAACGCGAACTGCACAGAAATCGTTAACGTGTAATGATATGTGCGTCGAATATAATTTTCGGTCTTATTTTCCCCATAATTTACCACCAAAATTGGAAATATTATTACCTAACAAGTTGTATTAACCGCAAAACGGGGGACGGGTTGTTAATCGTGTTTAAACCGACTGGCGAATAGAAGGGTTCACATTACCGCGAAATGACAACGGAAATTTTGACCATACTACCGAAGGATCTAATTATTTCAGGAAAGAAATTGACAAGTAGGTTAACTTCTTAGAATCAGTTTTGTGTGAAACTAAAACTCCAGGCAGAAGAATCACAAGATGCAAAAAGTTGCGGAGAAAAACCCTTAGTATGTACCTGAGATGAAAAGCTTCTCACAAAATTCATTTGCTGTAAAATTGTATGTCCTTCAATTTGAGTTACAGGTTAAACAAAATATTAAAATGTATTCCGGCAAAAAAAAGTAGAAATAACAGATTTTCATATCGGAAGAAAATGGTGCTTGCTCAATGCTGGTCATACAACAAAATACCGTCAACCTATTTCCTCAATTTGCTATAATATTAATCGTCGATATTACTTAATGTTAATAACTATTTCCAAGATTTGCTTCCGAAAACTGCCATTACAATTAAGTTCTCACTACACAGTTTTCGTTAGTTCCCTTTTCTCTATCCAAAAACAAATGGTTTGTCAGCCTAGCGCAAAATCTGATATCTTCTAAAGCAATCCAGCTTCCCTGATGATGTTTAATGAAGGCCAAAACATGTGCGAACCCTTCGACGGGCGGATTTTTTAAACTAAATTTACAAAAAATGCGCTTTTGGAAAAAAACCAATTCAGTCTACGCTGTATCCCATATTCGCAAATTATTTTTGGGACATCTTATTAAAAATAAACTCTTTGCAGTTGGAAATATTTTCGTCTAATCTCTAAATTTGGATTTGATTCAGCATTAATACCCAGGAGGAACTATGTGGCTGTGTTGATAAATCTAACTTGTAAATTTAGCGTAAGTTATGGACTTCGTTTCTGGGCATATACATATCTGTCTTGAGGTACTGAAACATTAATGAAGGACTGTCGATGAAATCGCAATTTTGA